CTCGCAGGCTCCACGTTCATTTCAAGTCTAACAGTATAGAAAAATTTTTAAATTTTTTCATGTCACTAAATACTTTCCCTCTAGTTTAGGAAGAAGGCTACATTAAAAAAAAAAAAAAGCCTTAAGAAATAAATCTAATACACTGTGGAACTATGGGAAGGAGGATCTTAGTGCACAAATGTCAGGCACATAGAAAAGAGGACATGTTTACAAGGACAAGAAAGACTGAAAAGGCTTAACAGCCACATCCTTTACTAGTAAATGGGAAAAATCACAACATAAATAAGGAAAATATAAATATGATAAGAAAACTTACTTTTAATGATTTCACATTTCAACTAAAATGTCTTATAAATACTATGATAACCGAGACTAGGCGGGCGCTCTACTGCTGAGCCACAACCCCAGCCCCTTACAGAATTCTTTATACAAACAAAAATACCAAGATCTGTCTCATTAAGCATCTATTTACATTTATGGTTAATTTTTGCTTAGATTAAGTATGTCAAGTACTTATAAAATGTTAAAAGATGAGCTGGGGTTGTGCTCAGTGGTGTAGCGCCCACTTAGCATGTGCGAGGCACTGAGTTAGAGCCTCAGCATCACATAGAAATAAATAAATAGAATGAAGGTATCGTGCCCAATTACAAATAAAAAATAAATATTAAAAAATGTTAAAAGAATTAATAATATTCAAATCTTTAGTTTTTTCCAAGTGCTATACCTGAAGAGAGAGAGAGAAAGTATGCATGTGAATTGTTTTGTTTTAAATAAACTGGGCTGAACAATTTGGATTGTTCTGGCCGGAAGCGTCTGTGTAAGCACTGTTCAAGTTGCCCTGAGCCTCAACCTGCCCACAGGTGGAAAAGGGTCATGAAGAATGCTTGATTTATGAGACATCAGGCTAGCAAACTGTCTGAAGGGTCAGAATTTCTTTCTAAATTACCGAAACAACATGATGAAGTGAGAAGTACATATAGCAAATCACATGGCTTACCACTTTCCCTTCATTTTGAGTAAAATTAAACTATTTTGCAGATGTAACACACAATAGTAGAAATGCTCCTTAATATCTAGTGGGTATTTAATACACATTACATAATTTGATAGTGAAAAGATTATCATCAAAAAAGATTGAGAGGGCTGGGGTAATAGCTCAGTGGTAGAGTGCTTGCCTACCATGTATGAAGCACAGGGTTTGATTCTCAGCACCACATGTAAATAAATAAAGATCCATTGACACCTAAAAAATATATTTAAAAAAAAGACTGAGAAATGAGTATATGTGCCCATGGAAAGCATAAAAATTTCAATAGTAGTCTTATTCCTAATAGCCAAAATCTGGAAACAATCCTAAATCAGAAGAACAGATTAAAAATTTGTTGTATATTCATAAAATAGATAGGAATAAAAGAAAAGACAAACAGCCAGGAATAGTGGCACACACCTGTAATTCCAGCTACTCAGGAGGCTCAGACAAGGGGATTGCAAGTTTGAGGGCTGCCTTATCAACTTAGCAAGATCCTCTCTTAAAAAATAAAAAGGGCTACGGAGGGGAACAAAGTACTGATAAACAAAACTACAAACAGTGAACCTCAAAAATTACATTCAGTGAAAGAAGACAGATATACTTAAATATACAAAGCAGAGTCCATGTACATGAATTTTAAGAACAGAACTATCTATAGTGATAGGAGTCAGAAAAATGGTCACCTATACAAAGTAATGACTAGGAGTGGGCAAAAGGAAACTCTTTGGAGTGAAAGAAATGTTCTAATTTGATCTGGGTGGTATTTATATGGGTGTATACATATATAAGAATTTATTAATCTAGGTACTTTTAAGATTTGTATTTTTTATTGTATATACACTATACAATCAATTAAAAAAAAAAGACTCAAGGTAGAGGGCAGTCTAACCCTAGAAACAATCTTCATCATGAAACCATATAATGTTTGGAAAGTGAATCCAAATTGCATTTAAAAACCTATGCAATTTGTAAAAAAGCAAATAGTTCCTTATAGGAGGAACAGGAACTTGAAATAAAAGTGCCTACCCACATTCACTGCCTGGCACACTTGTCTCACTAACCCAAACACTTGGCTCCTTGAAGGTCATGCAATGGCTTGAAGCCCTCCCTTCTAACAGGTACCACTACTTCTTTGGTATTATCAGTCAGTCTTTTCTGAATACACAGACAGCCCAGCTATTTCCAAAATCCCCCTCACTTTTGTATTGGTTTTCCCCAAAATAGTTCCTGTAATAAATAGTGATTCAACTCATAATGAAAAAGGAAGGCTCTAAATTAATTTGCCAAAGAACTATTCACTAGAAGCCAATTCATAAACAGATCGATTCACTATGACAAATTTATACATTTTCACTTTTTCAAGACGTCAGTGAAATTTTAATAGGCTCACTTTCACATTCATTCATAGTTGCATTTAAAAACCTATGCAATTTGTAAAAAAGCAAATAGTTATAGAATGATCTTACAAATATAAACTTGAATATATTCCATAAATGTGAATATATTCTTTATAATGATTATATTCATGAATATATCCTCCTTATGAATATATTCATGAATATATTCTTCTTTGCCCTGTTGGGAAAACTTTTTAATACAGTTTAAAATTAATGAATATGAATATATTCATGAACATTTTTATAACTTTATATTCATATTCATGAGCTATGTTCTTGACCATATTGGGACATTTCTGAACCTAGTTTAAAATTTAATGAATTTCAATATATTCGCTAGGAATATATTCATATTTTCATCAGCATAAATTCATATTTATGGCCTGTATTCTTGACCATACTGGAAAATTTTGAACTCAGTTTTAAATCTGATGAATATCAATAGACTCATTAAGAATCTATTTATAAGAACACATTCATAATCCTTACATATATATATATATATATTCAAGAAAAGTATACTTGCAAAGCAACTAATTCATTCAATAATTTTAACCTTTGATAAAAGTTTTTTAGGAAAAAGCAGCGCTAAGTAGATCATATTTGGTAACACTTATTTTTGGTAAGCCAGCATACTCTCTTGAAGAAGAGTTTTTATCTTTAAGCACATACATATCAGCCAGGATTTACCCAATGAAACTAACTCATTTAGTCACATACTGGTAGTTGTTATTTCTCAGAAATCATAGGTTCCTTAAATCTTCGTTTTTCTTGTTTTTTAACATACTAATTTGGGATGCATCTAGGACTAACACCTTCCCCACCCCATCCCCATGAACTTAGGAAATTCTGTTAGTTCCATCACATTCTTATCATGCTCTACCTTCAGCTAACATTTCTGCTGTACCTTTTTAGCGTTATTTTCCATTAGATATATTTTTTCATTTAAGTCTGTTCATTACAGAAAAAGTTTGTTACCCTACTATAGACTTAATCTTTAAGTTCTCCAACTCTGTTCTTCAAGATTGCTTTCCTGGTTCTTGACCCTTTGTATACCCACAGAAATACTAGAATTAATTCATTGATTTACTGGACACAAATACATGTACACACACAATTCTCCTATAATGGATTGGGATAACAGAACCTATAGATATAAGGATAATTTCTATCTTTAAAGTAGTGGTAGAGCATATCCCAAGATCTACCATTTCCTGGTCCTCACTATGACTTGGGGTCCAAAATATTCATGGGAGAGAAGGCCTAGTATCAGTTTCTCTTATACTCACTTCCAGTAGAGCTACAGACTTCATTTACATAAAAATGCTCTTGGAAACAAGCAGTCCATTTACAGATAGTGAAAATGAGGAAAGAAAAGAACCAATTCCATTATGCTCTAATGTTCACAAATCCCTCCTTATACATAACAAGTATGACACAATCTACTAAAGCCACAAATGAAGTGAGAATTGACTCTGATAATTTTGAAAATTTCTCAACAGTTAAAAAATTGTCACAAACAGCTAACAAATATGTGTTCCAAAAATCATCAGAGAAATCCAAATTAAAAGCCCAGTAAGATATCACCTCATACCTATTGGAATGCCTATTTACCAAAAAGATGAAAGGTAACAACTGCTGGCAAGGATGTGGAGAAAAGGACACCCTTGCACACTGTTGGTGGCAGTATAAATTAGCAGTCATTATGAAAACAGTAAGGAGGTGCCTCAAAAAATTAAAAGTCTAGGGCTGGGGTTGTGGCTCAGAGGTAGAGCACTTGCCTACCATGCATGAGGCACTTAGCATCAAATAAAAATAAAATAAAGATGTTGTGCCCACCTATAACTAAAAATTAAATATTAAAAAAATTAAGAATCTAACTACCAGCAATTCTATATCTAGGTACATAAAAACAAACAGACAAAAATAGTACATTTAAGAGAATTAAGTACCATCACATTTACTATAGCACTATTCATAACAGTCAAGAAATGGAAACAACTTAAGTATCCATCAATTGATGAATGGATAAAGAAAATATCGTATATACAACCAATGGAATGTCACTCAGCTCTAAAATAGGATATTCTAGCCAGGCATGGTGGTACATGCCAGTAATCCCAGCAACTCAGAGGACTGAGACAAAAGGATCTCAAGTTTAAGGACAGCCACCTCAGCACTTGGCAAGACCCGACTCAAAAAATAAGAAGGGCTGGGGATGTAGCTCAGTAGAGGAACACACCTGGGTTATAACTTTAGGAAGTTATTCTAAAAATAAACATCAGCAACTACGGAGGATAGTGGTGAATGCCTGTAATCCCACAATTCATGAGGCTGAGGCAGGAGGATCATAAGTTTGAGGCCATTCTGGGCTACTTGGTGACCTCTGTCTCAAAATAAAATAGACTGGGGTGTAGCTCAGTGGTAGGGCACCCCTAGCTTCAATCCCCATACCAAAACCAAAAGCACAACCAAGAAACTTTATATAAAAACATTTATTGACACATTGTTTAAAATAGTAGTAAATGGGCTTTCAAGACACCGCTGTCGCCTGTAGTCATTCTCTGTTAACCATGGTCAATCTCACTGTGTATTTCAACATCACTGTCGATGGACAGCCCTTGGATCATGTCTCCTTCAAGCTGTTTGCAGACAAAGTTTCAAAGAGAGCAGAAAATTTTCATGCTTTAAGTAGTGGAGAGAAAATATTTGATCTTAAGGGTTTCTGCTTTCACAGAATTATTCCAGGATTTATGTACCAGGGTGGTGACTTCACACACCATAACGGCACTGGCAGCAAATCCATCTATGGGGAGAAGTTTGATAATGAGAACTTCATCCTGAAGCATACAGGCCCTGGCATCTTGTTTATGGCAAATGCTGGGCCAAATACAAATGGTTCTCAGTTTTTCATCTGCACTGCCAAGACTGAGTGGTTAGATGGCAATCATGTGGTCTTTAGGAAGGTGAAAGAGGGCATGAACATGGCAGAAGCCATGGAGTGCTTTGGGTTCAGGAATGGCAAGACTAGCAAGAAGATCACCATTACTGACTGGATAACTCTTAACACATTTGACTTGTGTTTATCTTAACCACCAAACCATTCCTTCTGTAGCTCAGAAGAGTACCCCTCCACCCAGTCTATTCACCATATCCCATATCTTTGCGTTCTCACTGCAGTTCCATATTTTCCTTATTTCCCTCCCAAATCCAGCTGGATTGCAGAGTTAAGGTCATAATTATGAATAAAAATCAAATGACAAAAAAATTAAAATTAAATAACATGGTATTAAGTAGAAACTATGTATTGTAGCATGACAGAGAGAGTGAAAATGCAGGTTATATATACATAAATATAGTCATATATAAACTATATATGTATATATATCCATACACATATATTTCATAAATCTGGAAGGATATACTTAAATTTGGAGGTATAATGATTTGGTATTAGAAAAAAACAAAAATACTCATTTAAGATTTACATTACGATGTTTCATTTTATATAACTGTTTCTCAATTTTGAAAAAGTTTTGTTATACTTGTTTTTAAGGACTACTTTGATTGCCATTATTAGGAAAAGATATTACACTTTTGCACAGTTCTTGATCATCCTTTTAGTGTACTGATAACTCCCACTATGAAGAACTCATGGGCATACTAGAGAAAGGTACACTAGCCTAACAAAGCATACTGTGCACAGTGGCTCCAGGAACTAATTCCACTAACACCATGAAGTGAGACTGACTGACTGCCGACCCAGTTGTTAAATGTTGTAACCCTAACTCGAGAGCAGGGCTATCAAATACTGTGGTAACCCCTGTACTGTTTATACACACATCAGAATGTTCTAATAAAACATACCACTTCCAGGAAGCAGTCAGAGAAATGATCACTCGAGTCCCTAATTTTTTGCATATCATGATACTTCCCAGTCACAGAAAGGTAAGAGGTAGGGTACTGGCCATTAGGGACAAGGACCAGTTTAGAAAAATGATTTTTTTCCTGTTTTAAAAACACAGTAATAACAACAATCACCTTTGAATATATTTTTAAATGCTCAGTTAAAAATAAAAGTGTTGTTTATTTTACTTTAAAAAAAAAAAAAGCTTTACTAAAAGATTTAAAATACATCTGCCCAGGGGGATTACAAGTTTGAAGTCAGCCAGGGTAACTTTGCAAGACCCTTTCTCAAAATAAGAAGGGCTGAGAATGTAGCTCAGTGGTTCAGTACCCCCTTGGTTCAATCCCCCATCCCTTCCCCCACAGATGCATTTGCCTTTAATTGTACTACTTTTGCAAATTATCTTAAGTCTAGAATATCTTTTTAGACTATAATTGTCTATTTATGACCCAAGGACATACTGAGACCCAAGCCTGCAAAAAGCTACTCTGCAACTTCTAAACCTGAGTCATGAATTCAATTCACCTCCCCCTTATCACCAGAAGCTCAAAAAGTAGAAGCAGCTAGACAATGCTGGGTATTTTTAATCTAAACAGGCTCCCCAAGGTATCTATTGAGGCCATCAGTCCCCTATGAGAGGAATGTGAGGCCATCCCTCAAAATGAGGTTGAAGCAGCCTCAGCACCCGGGCTTTGCTCACTGGGCTTTAGGATGCCCAGATTCCAACTCTGCCCCAGTTGGGCAGAAATTAGTGAAGTCAAGTTTTCACTACATCAACAATGAGTGGTTAACTCTTTTACTGTGATCCATTTGTATATATATAACTGAATTGAAAATCCATTTAATACAGATTTTTTAAATTAAAAAAGGTATAAAACTTTAAGTGTTATTATAAAAATAAGAACTGGCTCACTCGTCAATAATTCAGAAAATCAATCTGAATGATGGAATTTTTTCAAAAGACCTTTTAACTTTCAATATCTAGAATAGAACAAACAAATTAGTACCTGTTGGAAAGCCCTGCAGAATATAGTTCTTTTCCCATTTAAAAAATGCCTATCTTTTCCTCACTAAACAAGTAATGGATGCCAATTTATTAGAAAATAGAAAAATATCAAAGATATTCATTGTTAACATTCTGGTATTTTTCTTTCTAGTATTTTATTTGTACTTGGGACCACATGTTCCTTTTAAACAAAACTGTAATCAAATTAAATATTACTATTTACATTCTATTAGTTTATGCGTTTTCTATGTTGTTGCACAATCACGTTGCTATATATTATTTCATCCACTGTAACTCAGAATAAATGAATATAAAATATATAATGGAATTATTGACAGTTTCATAACAGTCTGAAATGTTTAGTTAGAGACAAACATATTAAGAATTCCAGGCTTCTAAAAGCTAAACTTAATTTCTGGCAAGCATGACTGGTAATTACAACCAAAAGCCAAATATTATGGAGTCCTTTTTTTAGACTAAGCAGTTTTGCCACTCAGCATGTATAATCACTGAAACACTTCCAGCATAATGATATCTGTTCAGCTACTGGCAACCATAAATGTTTCTGAAAGCTAGAGAAATGTGAAAATTCTCTAATATGACTTGCAAAGTGAAAGTACATGTGAATGAATTTCAAGTATAAAACTGTGATCATAAACACTATGGTATTCAGAGAAAAATTCATAATCATATATATTTTTCACCTATGAGAAATAGCTATGCAAATCATCATAAAAACAAAACCCAATATTGAAAAAATTTTAATCCATACTAGACCTAGTTCATATAAGCACAAAGTATTTTCAAATTCTATATGAAATTATTGAGGGTAAATCATTTGAATTTGAAAAATAGTTCAAGACAAAGCACCTTTGTCTTGACAATTTTAAGAACTACTAGTATGGTATTTCACAAAATAAAAGGTGTCACTTAATTTGGGTTTGTCTGATATTTTTCTCACAACTAGACAGGAATTAGACAAAAATAGTACCAGAAAATAAAAAAGTACTCAAAAGATAAACCAATGGGAATATCACAAAGGGACATAGGGAGTCAACAAAAGAGCTCCCAATGACTAGAGCTAGAACAATTTGAGCAACAAAATATTGGGTTCTAACCCAAAGTATATGATAAATACCTGTGAATTTTATTGATATGAATAAATGATTAATGAAATAGGGAGAAAAATCAGACCAATCCACTGAACACAAGAATTCCAATTTATGTAGATACTGCCTCCTCAAGAAGGTGGGGCACCATTCCTTATCCCTTTGGTATGGGCTGCTCCATCCAAAGAGCAAAGTAGGGGCGGAGAAAGAAAACAGTGTAAAACATCTGATAGATACCACCTCAGTCAAGTGATAAGGGCATCAGCAGTGATAATTCATGATGACATCACATACCATCACATACCATCACATATGCGGTGATAAGAGCATTTAGCTGAGTGCTGTGACACACACCTGTAATCCCAGCTACTTGGTGGGAGGACACTGAAGCAGGAAGATCACAAGTTAAAGTTCAGCCACAGCAGTTTAGGAAACACTGCCTCAAAAAATAAAAAAGGTGGGCTGGGGATGTGGCTCAAGCGGTAGCGTGCCCGTCTGGCATGCGTGCGGCCTGGGTTCGATCCTCAGCACCACATACAAACAAAGATGTTGTGTCTGCCAAAAACTAAGAAATAATAATAATAAAAAAAAAGGTCTGGGGATGTAGCTCAATGGTAGAGCACTTGCCTAGCAAAAGTAAGGTCCTGGGTTCAACTTCCAGTTACCCCCAGACCGCCAAAAGGCGTTTTATCACTGTATTCTTACAGTTAAGAACCCATAATCCCTGTCCAGGTATGAGAAACATATCAGACAAACCCAAATTGAGGGATGTCTTATATTCTGTGGAATAGTTTACAAGTACTCCTTAAAGCTGTCAAAGTCATTTTTAAAAAAAAAAAAAGGTAAGTCTGAAAAACTGCCACTGTTCAGAGAAGCCTAGGGTATGGTGACTAAATATAAGGTGGTTTTGTGGATGAAATCCAAGACAGAACAGGGATACAAAGCAAAAATGAAAAATACATAAATAAAGACTTCAGCTGATAACAATGTATCAATATTGGTTCTTTATTTGTAACAGACATCTCACATTAATGTAATATGTTATTAAGGGAAACTGAATATGGGGCATGCAAGAACTCCAGCTGGCCTTCCAACTTTTCTGTAAGTTGATCAAACTACTCTACAATTTGAAGTCTATACATTATATATATGTACATATATACACATATACATGCATATTAAACTGATAGATATTCAGGCATAGGTAGATCTCACACACACACACATCCCTCAGTTCCAAGAGGGCAGGGATACTGCTTTGTTCACTACTTTGTATTCACAATTAGACCATCTCCTAGCACTCAATAAACACTTTTTGGCACAAACAAGCATGTTTTATGACACTGGTTTTATTTCAATACTTCCTCATTATTCCTTTATTTCTATAAATCTACCAAAAAATGTTATGAAGAAAAAGTATTATCTAATTCTGGTCAAGAAATTAGCAAATGTTTGTGTTGGTGGGTATAGCTCAGTGATAAAGCATTGCTTAGGATGTCCAAATCCCTGGGTTCAATCCCCAGCACTGCCCCTGCAAAGGGCAAACATTGATTATCAGAGTCATTCAACCAACATTTGTTATATCTTCACCACAATCCAAAATTGACACTGGGTGCTGGGGACTCAAAAAAAATCAAAACACACACACAGTTTAATTGTGAGGAAGGAAGTTGGGAGGCTGGCTAATACACAGATGATAATGATAAAAAAAAACGATTGAGTGTGAGATACTTGCTTTGGGTATCCTGGGATAGTATAGCAGGAGCATCCAGCCCTGCATAGGATGGTAAATAAATACCAAGGACTCAAGAGCAAAGAAAGGCATGTGGGCCCCAAACAACTGTTGTGTGGGCAGACAGAGTAGAGCTCAGTGATGGGTGGGACTGGAGAGATGCGGTGGCATGCTGGTACACCAGGCCATCAAGAGGCCTAGAGAGTCACTGGGGAATGTTTTTTCCCCACATTCTTTTTTTATTGGCGCATTATAGTTGAACATAATGATGGGATTTATTGTTGTCTAACATGCATTTATTGTTAGACAACAATAAATCCCATCATTATGTTCAACGA